AAAATAAATATATTGAAAAATATAAAAACCAAAAATAATATACTTTAGAAGTTGATCTACTATCAAAAACGTTCGATTCAACACAACACACAGTCCTCAGAAAAACATCACACAATAGTGCCAGTGCTGCCAGCTAAAACACACATACCAACAAAAAAATATTGGAGTAGCCCAAGATATAGCCAAAGATTGCAGCGCCACAGCACTAGCGAAAATTTAAATTTGCCGACTGGAATGCTTTCGGATAAACGACGCTCTACTGTATAACAAAATATGTGCATAAGTAAAATGTATCCCTGATTATCCAAGGTAATGAAGACCAATGCTACCTCGGGTAACTGAAGACACTGATAAAGTGGATGGCCATTTTGGATTGCAAATATAAAATATTTTGCGGTATCACTTTCAAACCTCATTTTATACTTTAATGGATTTAATCATATATAATGGTGGGCAACCTTTTTAAATGCATGTGTAGGGACCAAATTTTCTAGATTTTTATCTATTAATTAGACTTATAGCTGACCGAGTCAACAAGTCTTTGGGATTGACTTGTTGATTGACATATAGTGATAAAAGTCCAAAGGTCCAAAAGGATGTATGTAGAAAGAATTAGTGTATAATAAAACTTAACATATAATTAGGTTTATTTTATAATAGTATTTTTCAGACCATTTACTATATGTATTTTCAAAATATTCACATATCAGGTTATGTATGTTAGGGGACTAGAGTTGGTCTGTAGGTCATATGTTTCCCACTGCTGATGTAAAACATGTCATTACACTGTATATCTTTTATTCTGCTGCTGATAATGTACAATAGTCTTAAGAGTTAAAATGTAATTACAACAATATGCATATTTATATGAATGATTATCATTTAACTTCAGTGTGAGAAAAGTCACAGAAACAGGTCATTTTTTAATATAAGAATAAAATAAATTATTTGAAAAACTCTGACTCCATTGTTTTAATCTTACTTAATTGTACTATGAAAGAAAGAGTACACAAAAATTTTTAATTTTCCTTCGTTTCTGAATTAAAGGACTAAAAATTTTTTAACTCTAAACCATTTATTAAAAAATGAAATAGAATTTAAAAGGTTAAAAAGTCAAACCAGTTTTTGTAGTTTAGGGATAAATATGATGTAATAAAAAACTGGTTTGACTTTTTAACCTTTTAAATTCTCAATGTATGTCTTGTCTCTTTAATCCAACATTAAGTGTTAAAAGTGAGTATCATGTTATTTTATTAAGATATATGATGTTATAAAGTAAAAAATTATAAAATTATTAATATATTAGGTTTTCCATATTAATGGTGAAAATGTATTTGAGGTGTTTTTAATGGCTGTATTTTTAAAATCTTTCCAATGTTACCCGTTGTACACCATGGTTTTAGGAGACAGAACCATAGGTATCGTATAAGTGTGACAATTTTTAAGTATGATAGTTTTATGTCAGTAAATATGACCTGCATGTGAAGAGTTTTGTCATGTTACTAATTATGTTTTTTAATTTTTTTTTAATAATTTGTAGTATTGCACTGAAGAGGGACTTAACATTTATATAAGTCCGAAATGCGTATGTGGAAACAATAAAAGAAGTGTCTAACCTGAAAGCTGTAATAATAGTCTACCGAACTTAATGTCGGATTAAAGAGACAAGACATACATTGAACATAATAACAGCTATCTAAAAGTGATACTTTTAAATTCTATTTCATTTTTTAATAAATGGTTTAGAGTTAAAAAATTTTTAGTCCTCTAAGTCAGAAACGAAGGAAAATTAAAACTTTTTGTGTACTCTTTGATAGTACAATTAAGTAATCATTTTGTGATGTTATCATTTTATACTATAATTTATACTTTTTTCTATAAGAAAGGTGGTGCATTAACTCACAGGTTTGACTTGGATGATACAAACCTTATTACAGTAGAATCCTGATTAACTATCTTTAAATTACTGCTACTGAAATGTCATATAGTAGCTGTAAAAATTTTAGAAAATTACTTAAACACAAAGTACACTTACATCAGGTTATATATTCTTAGTGACTTGCACATTTGGACTAATTGATATTGTATTGGCTCACTCTTGTTTATATTTTAGTGCAATATTCTGTGAAAAAATTATCCACTACATAATATTAACCACATTATAAAATAGATCAGTAAGAGATTCATTGAAACTAGTTTAATGTAGTGTATACTGAGTGGGTAACAGAAGACAACAAATTAGTTAAGTTTGTATTCATTTTATTGGATTAAATTTTTTTATTAATTTGGAATTTAGGAAATTTGACAGACTTGTTTATAAATATAAATAGATAGAAAAATGATTTTAATTCTGAACTAAGATATAATTCCTATAGAATAATGCATTCCATTAAATTTGATCATACTAAATTTCAAATAATAATAAGCACAATCATAAAGTCAAATAAGATAAATGAGAATAATGTCATTAGTCAAAATGTCCAGAAAAAGTTAGAACAACAATCTATTTAGCAACATTCACATCTGAAATGGTTTTCTTGAAATGTTTTGCATTTGCAGTTTTTTGCCTCAGTTTATCTTATACAGGTAACCCCCGTATAACATGGCACTTCTATAGCATGGATTCACTCTAACACAGTTTGAGAATTGGGAACATCCCCCGTATAACACGGGTTCACTCTAACATAGTTCGGGAATTGGGTAAAACCCTTGTACAACATAAAATGTAATACAGGGTGTGCTCTTTTATACCTCTGCATAACTCCACGCGAGCATTCTAATTGTTTTCGTGGCTACTTTGAATGCTCTTTCAACAAATAATCCATTTAAATTTTTAAATTTAAATTTTACAATTGGGACCCTTCTTTTGCTTCTAAAAGCTCATTATAGAATTATAGATTCCTCCACACGATACTATCGATATTGCGGGCGCCGCCATCTTTCTTTCACCATCGTTCCTAAATGCCTACAAACAGCAGTGCACTCCCGTTGCAGAGCGACCGCTATTAACGAATGCACCCAAAAACTGTTACCAGTTGATGATGCTCATGCTGAGATCATCATATAGGATGAATAATCCTCTGGAAAAATATTTACTTAAATAATAAATATTTTACCTATGAAAAAAATGAATAATAAATCCAATTTAAATAAGGATTTAACATGTTTTTTTTTTTTAATTTTTGAAACCTAACCCCCTTTTTGCACTAGTTCTTTGTTTTGTATAACACAGATTCGCATAACACGGCAATTTTTTGGAACGTAACTCCCGTGTTATATGGGGATTACCTGTAATTCACAGTTTGTACACTTGAGTGAAACATCCATATAGCAAGATACCATTTCCTTCATGAAGTGTAGTTTTCCTTTGTGGCATGATCTGTAACGTTTGAAACATTACAGATCATGTGCACAGAATACAACTAGTACTTTATAATCATCTCACTGTTGTGGTCCAGGCAAAAGAGGGCTTATAGAGGAGTCCGATGATATTTTCTTTTTTCAAAACCCACTTATAAGAAATGAACAATGTAAATATATTGTTTTATGGTGGTTTTATAGTCTGTGCAGTGTGTAAAGTATGTTTACAGCAATGAAATATTTCAAAAAGTCTACATGTCTAAACATTGTTAAAATTTAAGTGAAAATTAATACAACAAATTTATGTAAAATGGTTATGAATGAAATAACAATATTGGCCAAAATTAATTTTGTTAAAAATTATTATCTTAGACATCCAACCATCAATCTGTCAGGGTGGATTGACCTTGATATGTTAGGTCTTCTCACAGATCTGGCTGAATCCATGACGGATATGAAACAAAAGGTTCTCTTAGTGTCTGTAAACAGAAATATTGCACATATCATAATTGAACCACAAAGATGAGTTAATCAGAATATTTAGTTAATAATCAATTAATCAGAATATTCAGAATAATTGACCAACAAACCAAGATTGGTATGCAAAATAAACTGCAGATATTAATGACAATTATTTCAATAAAATTGCTAATTCTTGACATTTTCTAAAATTAAATTAGTTATAGAAATATTTAAGTGATAGAAGCATTAATATAGCCAAATATAATCTGACAATTAATAATTAAATGTTGAGTAATTTGGCCTAGAGGTAAGCATTAGACTCCATCTTTTGGTAAATTTAAAAATTAATTTAGAAGATTCACTCTGGGCAGATTCTTTTCTTCCAGAGACTCAAACCCACAATTCCCACTTGTGGACACATTGCCAAGTATGCTACCCTGACCTCCATCCAATCTTAGCTCCCAAAACTATTTCTTTACAAGGAACCAGTATGGTTATATCTAGACTAACTGGGGATAGTATGTAACCCCCTCCAAGGCACTCTATAGGCTTTTGTGTTACCCCAGCACGTTGTATACATACAAATATAAACTTTGTTTAACCTGATCTTTAAGATTATCATCAAACAATTACCAGATTATATCATGAGATCACCTATGGTGCCTCCAGTTGGTGCCATATGCCATTGAGTAACCAGTAAGGTTATATCTGAATTAATAGTTTTGACAGAGGTCAGGGTAGCATAACTGGCAACACATCAACTTGAACACACTTGAAAGAGACTTGAACACACAACTCTGGCTTGGCATATACCAAGCCAGAGTCGTGTGTTCAAGTCTCTTTTCAGGTTAATTCTTCAGAACCTTTTACATTAACAATTAAATATTTTGATAAATTTAATTGAGATGGCACCTAAGTAAGCTGGCCTAGAGGAAGATGTCAACATTACTAGCAGCATTAATATAGCCAAATATAATAATTAAATCTTAAGATTAATGCCAAATGTTTATATTTGTTAATAGTTATTTTATGATCAAAATTTTTTATATTTCAGATCCATCTTCGCCAGTTTCTTAATACAAAATTCAGTGCCTGTGAGAGTGAAATAAACATGTAAAGCTTTTTTAAATTTGTAACAGAGAAAGAATTTATTATGAAACCAATTATTATTGTAGATATTTTACTTTGTATATTTTTCAAAAATTAAAATATTACATCTTTATATATACATGAAGTGAAATCTGAATGTGATGAACAGATCAGTTTTGAGAATTTTGTATACAAAAAAAACATTTTGACAGCATTTCCCTTTGTCTAAAAACATAGTTAATGATAAAATAATGTTTTGTTAATTTTAATACGAGTGTGTAATTAAAGTTTACAATGCTTTTGTGGACATACATATATGTTGTAATTAGCTGTAAAAAAAAGACAACAATGATACACAATTAAATTTAAATTAGGGGTAGATTTATTTGTAAAATTTACCAGTGTTCTGAATGTAGAGAAAGAGGATTGGAATTCAAAAATGTCACACCATAAAATGAGAATCTTTAAAATATCCATTATATTAGTATTAAAATCATTAATTTTTTATGCTATAAAATTTCTTTAGTAATTAATTTGATACAATCTGATCATAACTGGACATTTCTTTTTTGCTTAAATTCTACAGAATAAAATTTGAATAATTTAAGTATCTGTTTTGTATTATTCAAATTTCACTATAACAAACTTTCTGATATTGGAACTTTCATTATTCTCTTAACCAAAATAATCCAAAGACTAAGAAGGGATTTAAACATTATTTTTTCTATACATTTTTACAATGAATTTTTTGTGTAAGTTAGCAAATGATTAATTGCTTGGTTTTGCCTAAAAATTTAATACATTTGATGAATGGCAAGTGATATAATTATTTGTAACTGTTTAGTACATATGTCTAAAGCATATATCTATGATGAATCACCTTTTCTGGACAAAGACCCCAAACGAACTTCATTGGCTTCTGTTGGGCAGCACATTTTTCTTATGGAGTTGCAAGCATAAGCCTTCAGTATTCCTCGTTTTGTACTTCATTATAATATATGGTTTATTCTTTTCTTTTCTTTTCACGGGTAAAATTTAATTAGCATGTTCTTTGTCATAAATACCAACTTAACAGAGGCTGCGTAATGGTATGAGGCAGAAAACAAAATTACATTGCCAAAGCCCCGGGAGCAACGGGTCAATGATCTAAATGATTATTTTTTATCAACTAAAAATAAGGCGTATGATATAAAACAGCGGAATTTTCTAAAAAATATTTACAAAATGTCTCGTAAACGTAGAAGAATGGAATATGATCTAAAGAAGATCTCCGATGTTTTGATTCCTTCAGATGAGGAGTTAGAAGACAGGAAAACGATTGCAAATACATTATTCGAAATTCTTAACAGAAAAAGTAAGTTTAAAATTGACAGAATTGAACTTTCTTGCAGCGTTGAGAAACAAATAGCTATCACTATGGAATCGGAGTTTCAATACATTGTCTTTGTTAATGAGGAGTTACCTCCGTTTAAGAATGTCATCGACGATTTTGAAGAAATTCTGTCTTTGGAAGAAAACTGGAATCAAAAGGTAGAAATTTACAGAAGCTTAAATTCTATTCGAGTTACGTTAAATCATATGAAATTGGATATTATTCCCGCAACGAACTTTATCAACGACGCATCACTACAGATGATACACATATACAAATTGATAAAAACAAAACGATCTCAAGAAGGATACAAGTTTAGCAGTAGTCTAAGTGAATCGCGAGCAGAATTTATAAAAAGGCAATCGAAACTCGCTCATAGTCTAATAAGACTGGTAAAATTTTGGAAGAGAACTCTTTATATTAAAAGATATTCCAGCGAGATATTATGGATGCTCGAAATAGTCGCTATTTATGTGGAAAATGAAGAAAAAACATCTGAATACTTTTCTCTATTAAAGGCATTTCGTCACTTTATGAAACTGATAAAAAATTTAAACAATTTGAATGTTATTTTTGAAGAATATTATAACATTACTGACGTTAAAGATTTTATATTAAGACAGAGACCCTTAGTACTCGATCCCAGTAATCCTTGTAACAACCTCGCCTATCCTTTTATTCATAAGGAAGAAATGAAGATTCTCCTTCAGGAATTCGCCGAAACTACTCTCCATCGTTTAGAATACGCTGGTTCCTCTGCTAATTTAAATAGTGTTTTTGAACCCCAACCAATTTTGGCACCGATTGAAGAAGTTGAAATATCGCTACCTTCAACCAAGAACTGGTTATTTGGTTTTGAAGAAATAAGATGTAAAAAGAAGTTAAACATAATTGTTAGAAACGAGGAAAAAGCTGATAAATTAGGAATTGATATCGTTAAACATTACTTAATGAATAATGTTAATGTTCTTTATAACAATAATCAAACAAAAGATGAAATCGAAGCAACAGTATTAAGGATAATTACATATAATATCCTCAATATTAACGATCAGTTTGTATTAAAACCTCCAGGTAATTGTTCAGAAGTTAATAACTCAAAAGATTATGATGTTACATTTGAAATTTCAACTGGNATATTAACGATCAGTTTGTATTAAAACCTCCAGGTAATTGTTCAGAAGTTAATAACTCAAAAGATTATGATGTTACATTTGAAATTTCAACTGGAAAATTTTTTATAAGTGTATGTACAAAATGGGACTAAATATTATAATTTAAGTAATTAAGTCAATTTGAAAGTTATTTTTTTTAAATAATTTTGATTTGTATTACTTTATTAAGGCATTTTTTAAATCGACATAAATGAGACATTGTTTTGTTATATGTATTATTAATTTAAACTAAATAAATCAATGTTTATTATTTTTGTTAATTATGTTCTAACGCCATAAGACACAAACAATTTTGTTTTTGTTTTAAAGAAAAGTTTTTATTAATCCATTTGTATTGTTTCTTATGGGAAAATTCGTTTCGGTTTGAGAACAAATCGGTTTTCGAACTATTCCTGGTTTGACTGTATCAAATTCTTATTATTACCGCTAGGTGGACACTGCTTTCAAAATGGCGCTGTTCAGGTTCGTTTAGATTTCTCTCTGATATAATGCTAAAATGAATAAAAATCGATGCATTATTAACTTTTTTATATGTAATTTTGCTAAAGAACTTCGATCTCCTTTGGATTACCTCGTTCTGTTTACTACGGCAAATATAGAAAACAATATTATAAAGGGGATGAATGCGTGGCTGTGATCTAATGTAACCTACACATTATATAATATACAGGTCAGGTCAGGTCAGATCATACACGTGCTTCTCGCGGGTCGTGATCATAGACTAGAGCGCCAAAGTGGTAGATAACTAGAATGGAAGGCAAGCCACCCTTGCAACCAGGGCCGGCCATCGGGGGGCTATGGACCGGTGCCCCCCAACGTTATCAAGATAATGTACTCTTGCACATGAAAACTTGACAATATTCCTATCGTTGTCAGTATGACGAAAGGTACATTTTATTGTAAACATTATTATTGTAATTTCTGAATTTCGACAATCTTCAAACTAATTCTTGATGATGCGAGTATTTAGTTTTTATTATTTGATTCGGGGAACTCCCGAAGATCCCCACCTAAATTGGACTTTTCAGAAAAATATCTCAATACCATATAGCCTGCGTTAAGAAATGAAAATAATACTGTGGCCGTCGGCCATATAAAATTATATGTATATTTGATATAGTTGTAGTTTTAATGTTTCTTTTATAATTTTTTCTATCTCTTTTTGTCTGTCTTATTTCTGGAACTTTCTGGTGACCGTTATTGTCTCTGGGTAGGATTAGCCGTTCTAAGAATCAAAGAGAACTGTTATAACTGATCTGTTGTAACTTGATCTAAGTGTCAGGTCAAAGGTAGAAATTCCTACATACTTTTTGAATATCTGAGGGAGTTCTTGTGTAGTCATCACCCCAGTCAGTTGTATTCGAGAGTGAATAAAATCTGATTTTTCTGATATTTCCCATAAGGAACAAACTTCAATTATTATTAGGTATGTAAATTTTGAAGAGAAAAGATTAATTATAAATGAGTCATTTATAGGGTTTATTGAAGCAACTGATGTGACTGGAGAAGGACTAGCAAAAACTCTATTGAATACATTAAGTCAGCTTGATTTACATATGAATTGTAGAGGGCAGGGATACGACAACGGTAGCAACATGAAAGGGAAATATAAAGGTGTACAATCTAGAATAATTGCTCTAAACCCTCACGCAATATATGTGCCTTGCCTATCACACTCTTTTAATTTATTAATTTGTGCTGCCGCTTCCAGAAGTACATATTGTAAAAATTTTTGGGGAATATTGCAATGTTTATATTGCTTATTTTCTGCATCTACAAAGAGATGGGAAATTCTAAAAAAGCATTTAAACATTACTCTTAAACCATTATGTGACACTCGTGGGAAGCCAAAATAGATTCGGTTAAATTAGGGTATACACAGTTTGAACAAACTTGTAATGCCCTAGAAGAATTTATTGATAATACAGCGGTATCCGAAGCTAAAAGTCTGTTGGATTCAATACAAGAAATGCCATTTATTTTATGTTTAATAGTATGGTTTGCAATGTTGTTTAAAATTAACGCTATCAATATACTATTTCAAGCGAAAACAATTATTCTTGAGTCGGCTTTTAATTTAGTCAATAAAATTAAAACTGAAATCCAAAATTTAAGAACAAAATTTAACACATTTTTAGACGAAGCAAAAGTGTTAGCACGTAATTTGAATATTTCAAAACATTTTCCTGAAAAACGAATGCGAAAAAGAAAAAGGTTATATTCCTAAATAGCAGAAGATGAAGTTATAGAAAACCCAGTAGAGGAATTTAGATGTTATTTTTTTTAACACTGTAATTGATATTGTTATTGTACAAATAGAAGATAGATTTAAAAGTATACCAAATATTTTTTCTGATTTCAAATTAATCACTGATATAAAAACCTTAGAAAAACATGAATTAGAAAAATGTTCCAAAAACTTTGTAAAGTTTTATAACAAAGATGTAGATGAAAACCTAATCCAGGAAATTGGTTTGCTACGGGATTTGATTTTGAATGAAAGGGATGTAAATAACGCACAACACATATTGCAATACATACTAAATAATAATTATAATGAGTTATTTCTAAATGTATTGACTGTGTTAAAACGTTTCTTTACGTTGCCAGTTACTATAGCAAGTGCTGAGCGCTCTTTCAGCAAATTAAAATTAATAAAGAATTATCTTCGGTCCAGCATGTGTGCAGAACGCTTAAATGCACTCGCTATATTAAGCATCGAAAAAAAAAATTGCAAAAAATTGTAATTTTTCTGAAGTAGTTAATGTATTAGCAAAAACAAAATCATGCTTTAAATAAACATGCATTAGTAATATATGTTCGTGTTTGTAATTTTTTTTTACTTTACAAAAAATTTAGGGCCCAAATAGTTTCTTGCACCCGGGCCCCTTTATAGAGAAGGCCGGCCCTGCTTGCAACATCGCTTAGAGAAATACAGGGTGTCCCAAAAGTTTCCATACATACAAAGGTGAAATGTAACTATATTCACAAGCCATTAAAATGTCAGCATTAAGATGATTGATGGAGTAAGGCAACGGAACACATGGGTGATCTGCCAGTGGGGTAACTTCTAGCAGGACTTACTGTGTGAAAACCGCATTCTGTTTAGGTGTTAGATATATTTAGAAAACCCGGAACACTGCATGGTGGAAAACCCGTTGGTCAGGCACAAAACAATGATCAACTACCAGTGTTCGATGGTTTTATTTATTTGGCCACTGGTGGGTTTGATTTGTGTCGCTGTGTGGAGGCTTTCGGGACATCCCATATGATTATTTTGAATACCATTTGGATAAAAATAATATACAAATATCTATTTTAGTTTTCGAAGATGTAAAATGTTTATAATGAAGTTTTGAATCGACTTTTCGACAAAACATTTTTTTTCTGTTCTTTCTCAAATTTTGCAAAAATTAATTTTGACTTTTGTTAGTTTATCATCATCATATGTAAAATTAAAATTTTCAGTTAAGGTATGATTTCATTTTTTTTTACATTCATAGAATTTCTGAAAATGTACATTTTCTCTTCTAATATCTAAAAGTGATGCAGGTTTTAAAACATTATGGCTTATTTGTTTTATTATAGAGACATTTTCTGAAGATAAAATTTAATAATTTTCTAAAATTGAATTCTTTAAATAATTTATATGTTTTAAAAATTATGCACTATCAAATATACATCTTACATTTAATAGAAAGTTTCTATTATTAATGCAAACTCATTTATATAAACTGTTGGTAGTTTATTTCTTATTTTCAAATAAAAGCAAATGTCATTGAATAATAATAGATGTTTGATCAGTGGTAGCTCATTTACAGTAACTGCAATTATTACAGCAGTTATAAATTGATAAAAATGTAATTTTTCACTTACAAAAAACTTTTGTCTTTGCATATGACTATTTTATTATTACACTAGTATAATAATAAAAAATTTTGTAAGTTTTATTACATTGAAAATAGTTAACAGGAATTGAATAAGCAGAAAATAATACTGTATACCAAGTAAAAATACATTACAACTAATAGTGAGGTTGCGGCCAAACGGGACATTCCAATTTTCAACGCGAGTGTTGAGTGTTGAAGTCAACAATTTGACGTCATCAACGACGTTCCAACTTGAGTACTAAGTGTTTAGTTCCCATAATTCCATTCTCAGCAAGTTGGATTCCATTCAAATGTCTTACCAATACTTCACAATTCATTGGAAAGTAGCAGTCAACATATCTGTTGAGTGCTGAGTGTGTTGAGTCAGCGCTGACAACAGCACTACCTCAACATTGAAAAAAGGAACGAATTTTAACGAATGTTGAGATCAGCGTTGAAAATTGGAATGTCCGAAAGTTTTCATCTCTAAAACATAACGTCGAATGTCGAGCGCTGCTTAATAAAATAAATTACTATCCATCAGGTAAAAGGTGGAATGTAACTAGAATTATTGTAACATTTGTTGCAATGCTTGACTGCAGTTTTTAATCATATTTTAATTTAAGTAAATAATATGGTCTTGATTTTCTGGTCTTGATTTTCCATCTATCTAATTCCATTTTTGAGATAAGGTAAAATTTTGAATTGAAATCACATGACTTCTGGTCAAACATCTATAAATTATTCAATGACATTTGCTTTTATTTGTAAATAAGAAATTACTGCCACAAAAGACGCTATCCTTGAACCTGCCAGCCATGAGAGAGACAATCCTTGCCAGCATGGAAAGGCAATCCAAGAACAAATCTTGTGATAAAGAATCTTCAAATACCGGATTAATATAAAAATATAAAAATAACCACTTAACAAAACCAATAACCGGTATTAAATAATCGTAAAATGAACTGCAAACGTTTTCGGTACCTTCCCTAGGACCTTTCTCAAGCAACGATTCGTCTTTAGAATAAATATGAACAAAGACCAGTAAATTGTGACATTTGAAAAAATTTTTTCGAATGTTGCAATTAATGGAAAATGGCAAACTTCTATCAAAATTAGCCCATTAAATTTTGAGAAAAAACACAATTCTATAAGCTCATAGAATATGTGCTAGTCATCGTGGAACATTGCACAACAAAGTTGTGCAATTCATGCGATACCACTTTGTCACTTGTGCTTGTGCTACGTCCTTATACCTCAAAAACGAAGTCGTGGACTCCATTTTTTATTGCATTTTTGGATTCCTCATTTCAATTAATGGAAAATGGCAAAGTTTATTCAATCAAACAGATTTTATGAACGAACACAATTCTGTAAGCCACATAGAAGATCTTTGCTAACACTCCATCTCAAATATATCCATTGTGTATATTTTTTCAAGCAAATATTACAAATATTGCATGCTTCTAGAATCAAGATTATGCATAATCTTTTACATTTATGAAATTTACAAAATTCATAAAATAGATACTGCAGAAATATATTAAATTATGATAACCTGAATAACAATGTTTTATTAATATCATCACTATAAGTAATTCCATGCATTTACTAATTAATATAATGAGATTATTATAAATTCAATATTTTAAACAAAATACTGAATAAAAGTTTTACAATATTAAAAGTTCTTCAGAAAATCAATCATATAAAGATAACATAGTTAAAAAGATTTAAAATATTTCATTAATTTAATTTCGAAAATATAAACAAAAATTAGAATATTCAGATAAGAAATATACTGGATAACAAGCTATTAATTTAAATTTTGTTTTTTGCTTTCAGGAGAATGCATAAAAGTTTTGGTATATATTTTCAGAAATTTTCTATTGGCAATCAATGTTTTAATAGTAATAGAGCATCTATCACAAAAGTTAGGAGAAAAATATATGCCAAAATGTATCCTGCTGTTTTAGTTCAACCTGATGGATCAACAATAAATATTAGATATCATGAACCTAAGATGATAATTAAGGTAATTTTCTTTTTTAGTTACATATATACAGCAAATTAGGTATGAAATTTGTTCTTGGTTCACTATTATTCATCAATATATTTTTATATTGTAAAAAATTTGTATTATTTTTTTTATTAACTCTTGCTTGTTTATATTTTTATGTAAGGACATATATAATGTTTGATAAAAGAAATAACTACTTTACTATTTCTTCATTTTTGATTTTCTCATAGAAATTTTTTAAAATATCACTTTGAGATGCTGTATATATATGTATAAACATATTGAATGTTTAAAATTGAAGTATGCCACAGAATAATGATATATGACACTTTTTTTATTTTTTACAGGAGAAATAAAAAAACTAATATATCAGAAGCTGTAATAGTAATTTAATTTTTAAATCAAGACAAAAGGTACATTACTACATCACAGTACTTACAAATTCATAATTAATACTCTTTATTGAATGTTTCTAAACTGAAATAGTTTTAAAGGGTGTACCAGCAGAAGAACATTGTATCTTATTGTTACAGGAAAATTCTGTATGTTAACTACTGAATATTAATAATAATAAGACATACTTGTAATGTTGTAAACTTTAAAAATATAAAGGAGAAGCATATAAATAACATAATAAATGTAACATTGCAAGTTCTTCTGTTTATTAATAACCCATGTACAGTTTGCTTTACCATATTGCCAATGTATGAGGGCTGTTTCTTTTTCAACCTCTGATGGTCCATAAAAAAAAAGGCAAGTGTAAATAACAAAATGAATTTATTACCATAAGTTAAATACAAACATGGTTATTTTTCGACATAATCACCGTGAAGATTGAGGCATTTGTCTATCAGTGGACAAGCTTTGAAATCCCCTCTTCATAGAATGTTACTGCCAATGACTTGAGATTGTTTTGAAGATCATTAGTCTTGAACCTCTGCTCTCCTAGTCTTGTTTTCAGTTCAGGAAAGAGGTGGAAATCGCTTGGCGCTAAATCAGACTACATGGTGGGTGTTTAAAGGTGGTGAAGACTTCCACCCAGTTTGGAACTTTTTATGTGTGGAGACTTCTATCTCTTTCCTGAACTGAAAACATGGCTAGGAGGGTAGAGGTTTGAGACTAATGATGATCTTCAAAACAACGTCATTAAGGCCATCACAATTCACTGGCGGCAACGTTCTATGAAAAGGAAATTTCAAAGCTCATCCACAGATATGACAAATGCCTCAATCTTCACGGTGATTATGTCAGAAAGTAACCATATTTGTACCTAACTTTTGTTAATAAATTAATTTTGTTATTTACACTTGTCTTTGTTTTATGGACCATTGGAGGTTGAAAAAGGAACAGCCTTCATACTTACATTGGTAATATGGTCAAGCAAATTCTCACAAACTGATCACTTCAAAATGAGTAACATGAAACAGGAGTATAGGGAATTCTAACATATTTTTCAAATCTTCCTTCTTTTCTTTTGCTGTTGGAAGTAATCTATTATAAAGAATGAGAAGCTGTAGAGAGGGTAGAACTGTATAACTTGGTATAGGTTGGTTCTTCCTTTTTCAGAATGACAAACTGCTTCGATGGTTGCAGTAAACTGTGACCTTTGCAGACATACACAGCAGAAGTTATCATGTAGAAATTTGAACCACATTTCTTGCATAATTGTATGTAATATTGTCCTAATATACAGCACTGTTACACTCACTTGATGGGTGGTTCTTTTCAGGTACCTATTTACTTTTTCAGCATCTCTGTCTTTTTCTTTTAACATCCTTCCATTCAGACATTAATTAATCTTTTTTCTTCTTGACTTATTGATATATTTTAAGTCAGTGGTGAAATGTTAATACTCTGTGTCAACCATCATGTTTGCTATATAGCAGTGTCCCACTCAAATCGTTCAAGTGTCTGAACACAGATGCCAACTGGAGATAGAAATTAGGCCTACCAGTATCTGTTCTGTGCATGGGCGTAGCGAGGGGGGAGCCTGGGTGGGAACGGCCCCTCCCAGAGAACCTGGTGCCCCCCAGGAAATCACAGCCGAAAAAGTGTTGAGTCGATTTGTAAACACCTAAAGCTAAAATAAAAGTTTTGAATACTAAAAAAAAGGTGAACGGCTTGCTCGGTGCCCAATAATGAACAATAATTTGAAATAATTCAATTTTGTGTCAGGTTGGCCTCCACTAGGCCCCCCATAACAAAACTCTGGCTACGCCCATGGTTCTGTGTGAAGGAAGTGCTATACGAGTATATAGATTTTCCACAAAAAAACTTGCCTTTCCCAAAAACGTGCTATACAGCATTATTCTGGGACATATTTCAGTTGTAACACAATAAACATGAAGTACCGTATCTCTTTTACATGTATTGTGAAAAATACAATGAAGTTTTCAAACTATTATTATTTTTAAAAATTGTTTTACATTGCATCTATATATATAAAACTCAAAGGTGACTGACATAGTGATCTATCAACGCACAGCCCAAACCACTGGACGGATCGGGCTGAAATTTGGCATGCAGGTAGATGTTATGACGTAGGCATCCGCTAAGAAAGGATTTTGATCAATTCTACCCCCCAAGGGGATAAAATAGGGGATGAAAGTTTGTATAAATCTTCTTAGATTTTCGACTGATTGAACTGAAATTAAAGATTGGAGCTACTATGATGAAGACGTCCGCTTAAATAGGATTTTGATAAATTCAACCCCCATGGGG